TCTATATTTGCTTCCTCACACTGTCATTTAACTTGTTCCTCAACTCCAGGTTTTTTCTATATTGTAAGTTAAAAAGATTTCACTGGATTCTGAAGAACACTTCCAAGGTAATACTGCATATATCTGCAAAAGCTTAATATCAGAGTTTTCCATAATTAGTAATACTAATTGCTAAATTACAGATAGTAATTAGTAATACTAATTGGAATTGGTAGAGGTAGTCACTGCTGGAGTTTTCTATCATACAGTTCCTGTTTGGTAACTAGTGATCTGAATAGGGATATTTTTAACATCTCTATTTGGGAAGGGATCACATGTATGTATGTATAAATTTGAAATTGTATTCATTGTATTACAATACAATAAATAGTATTGTAATACAATACAATAAATACAATATACAATAAATTTTGAAATTGTAGCCTATTCAGGAAAGAATAATAAAAAGATACATATGTTTCAGAACTTTTGCTATGAAGAAATAACTGTAATTGGAACACTAATTTTAAAATAACAAAATTAATTAGAAAAATAATGCCTACAGGAAACCAGGATTAAAAGCCAGAATTTGATAGTTCACTTCTTTATCCCTACCACTTATTCAATAATTATCACAGTGTATGCAACCAATATATCTGTTAAAATAAGGAATATTCATTTATTCTAGGGCCATTTCTTGAAGAGATTGCCTTTCTCCATTGAGTTGCTTTGTTCAAAATCAGCAAAATATATAAATATACTTGTATTTCTGAAAACTCCCCAATGCCATGGTACCATGTGTCTCTTGTTCTTCTAGTACCAAATTGCTACTCATCTCAAATTGCTTTGTTGAAGGTCCTTTTCATTTACACATTTTTAAATCAGCTTGTCAATTTCTATAGGGCAAAATGGATTTGAGGATTATAATATGGAATACATTGAATCTATAGATCAATATGGAGATTCATATGTTAACACTGTTGGGTCCACAAGTCCATAAACATATATATATATCTCCTTTTATTTATGCCTTTAATTTTTCTTAGCAATGTCTTATAATATTCAGTGTTCAGGTTTTCTACATATTTTGTTAGACTTAAGTATGTCATACTTTTCATTATGATAAATTCTATTGCTGAATAACTGGAAAATTATATATATAATTTTCCTGCATATTGACTTTCTTTCCTATGATATCATTAGAGTTCTAATAGATTTTTTAGACTTCTTAGAATTTTCTGCATACAAAACCATGTCATTTGTGAATAAAGATACTTTTACTACTTCCTGTCTAGTCTGAATTTCCTTCTCTTACTGCATTTCCTAGGGCATTTAGTATAATGTAGAATAGAAGGGATGAACATGGACATCTTGGCTCTTGTCTAGTCTTAGGAAGAAAACATATAGTTCTTTACCATTAAATATAATCTTAGCCTTTGATCTTTCATCTATGTCATTTACCAGGGTGAAAGATTGCCCTTTGATCACCAAAGTGAACTGCTTTTGGGAATTCCCTTGTGGTCGAGTGGTGAAGACTCCAAGCTCTCACTGCTGAGGGCTCGGATTCAATTCCCTAGTCGAGGAATTAAGATCCCACAAACCTCTGGACCAAAACCACTGAACCCACACCCTCTAGAGCCTAAGCACTGCAAGAAGAGAAAGCCCTAGCATCACAACAAAGATGAGCGCAGCCAAAAAGAAAAAGAAATCACAGTCAAAGCAGAGATGAATGAAGCTGGACCCTTACCTAACACCTTACACAAAAATTAACTCAAAGTTGATCAAAGACCTGAATGTAAGTAAGACCCAAAACTATAAAACTCTTGGAAGGAAACATGGGGCAAAAGTTTCATAACATTTAATTTGGCAATGATTTCCTGGATATGACACCAAAGGCACAGGCAACAACAAAACAACAACAAAAAGACAACTGAATCTCATGAGAATTAAAAACTTTTGCACATTAAAGGACACTATCAACTGAGTAATAAGGTAACCCACAGAATGGGAGAAATTATATGCAAATCACACACCTAATAAATTAATAGTTAGCATCATAGAGACCTCCTAAAACTCAGTAACAAAACACAAACGATCCTATTCAAAAAGTGGAAAGGACTTGAAATGACATTTTTCTAAAGAAGATATACAAATGACCTAGAAGCACATGAATCATTAACAGAAATACAAATCAAAATGACAATGAGATACCACCTCGTTCTCATCAGGATAGATATTATTTAAAAAGAAAAAACAAAAACAGAAAAAACAAGTGTTAGTAGAGATGTGGAAAAATTAGAACCCTTGTTGAAAATGTAAAATAGTATAGACACTGTGGGAAACATTATGGAGATTCCTCAAAAGATTAAAAATATAATTACTATATGATCCAGTAATTCCACTTTCAGGTATACAATAGAAAGCAGGTTTCAAAGAGATATTGGTACACCCACATTCATAGCAGCATTAGTTGCAACAACCAAAAGATGGAAACAAATCAAGTATCTATTAAAGGATGAATGAATAAGCAAAATATGACATATACATACAATGGTATATTATTCAGTTTAAAAGAAAAGTAATTCTGACACATGCTATAACATGGATGAACCTTGAGGACATTATGCTAAATGAAATAAGCCAGTCACAAAATGACAGATAATATATAGCTACATTTATATGAGGTAACTAGAGTAGTCAAATTCCATTACAGAAAGTTAGATATTGGTTTTTAGGGGCCTGGGGCAGAATAAGAAGTTATTGTTTAATGAATACAGTTTCAGTTTTGCAAAATGAAAAGAATTCTGGAGATGAATAGTAGTGATAGTTACACAACATGACTATACTTAATACCATTAAACTGTACACCTAACAATGCTTAAGATAAGAAATTTTATGTTGTATATTTTATGAGATATTTTAAATTAAAAAACCAAAAGTTAAGGTATTCATTCATCAGAGAACTGTGTGTGTGTGTGTGTGTGTGTGTGTGTGTGTGTGTGTACTCAGTCACGTACAAGTCTTTGCGACCCCATGGATTGCAGGCTGCCAGGCTCCACTATCCATACAATTTTCCAGGCAAGAATACTGGAGTGGGTTGCTTTTTCCTACTCTAGGGGATCTTCCTGACCCTGGGATCAAACCCACATCTCTTGCATTGGAGGTGGATTCTTTACCAACTCTGCCATCTGGGAAGGTCCCAGGAGAGGATTACTTAGCAGTAAAAGGAATGAACTCTTCATATACACAGAACAGATGAGTCTCAAGATGATTATGCTGTATGAAAGAAAACAGACCAAAAACAGAGTATAAATACTTTATGTTTCCCATTGTACAAAATTCTAGGAAAGGCAAACAAATTCACAGTGAATAAAATGTAAATCAGTAGATTCCTTGGGATGTAGATAACAGTTCTCTGGGGAAGGCAAGGAGGGATTGTCAAGGGGCATGAGGTAGCCATGTGGATGAAGGATGGGTTCATTATTATGGTTGTGGTGTTGGTTCCCTGAGTGTACACATATTTTAAAACTTATCAAAGTGTACACATTAAATATGTACAGCCAATTATTGCATGGAAATTATATCTCAACAAGCATTAAAAGAAACTGTTGCAAGTAAAAATCTGCTCTCCCACTCATTTTAGAAAATTTAAGATTTGGCATCCCCATGTTGACTCTACTCCCTCTCTCCTCATGTGTTGGCACCAAAAATGGTTGGCTGTGTCACAAATGCCTCCTCCCTGGCTTACAAGATCTACCTTCTCTTAGTCCCCATTTCTCTGCCAACACAACACTGGTTTTGACATGAATAATGCAGACAGCCTATAATAATCCACAAAACCTTTAGCTGATTTCCTCTGCCAGTGGCCTTAGTCATAAGACAGAGGTCTGGAGGTCTTGAGAATTTCTGCAAGTCCTGAATCCTGCATAGTTACATTTAAGGGAATTTTGGATGCACTTTTATAACAGATACATTCCCTCTAATCTGCCAACTGGACCCAGTAAGTCTTACAGTAGGTGACATATACTGAATTTTAGACATCAAAGGCATATGACTCCTTGGCAGAGACCAGGTAAACAATGTTTACCCAACAGCGCTAAGGAATAGGAGGCATCTTCAGGGGAAAAAAAGGGGCCTAAATCAGGCTGCTTCCAGATGCACTGGAGGTTGCACAACCTCCCCTTCCTCAAGGTAACCTCTGATCTACAAAAATTCATGCCCTTCAAGTCACAACATTAGGCCCACCAAGCCCTACAATCTCCCCTAGGAGACCTCAGGTAGCAACACAAATGAGGCCAACTCTGGACTGAGAATTGTTCTCTGCCATCCTGCTCTTCACTGAGGCAATAAATTTGGAGACCTGTTTGGTTTGGAAGACCTTCATTCTGTTCTCAACCCACTCCACACATTTATCAGCATACAGGAGATAAAAGGTGACTTTATCAATAAGGCCCTTATCACCCAAACCAGAGCGATGTAAAGTCAAGGATGGATAATGTGGAAGCTGGATGAATCCATCATGAGCATCATACAAGATCAACAATGTCTTGGAAAAGGGAAACCTCTGCAAGCTGCCAGTAGGACCCAGATCAGGTCTTCATGGCAAAGATGGGTCATGATCACAGCTAAAGCAGTCACAGCGGGAGGGAAGACATCTTCCTCCTATGGTCTCAAGCTACTCACAATTCCCTCTTGAAAGAGGAAACAGAGGCCTGTCTTCCCTGAGAACAGGAAGTGGCTGGCACACACTCTGGAGACCCGTCAGTGGGTAGAACTGAGATGACTTCTACCACAGACACTAGCAGTAACAAAAACTCTGACAAAGTTTGGGATCATAAAATGTAGCCTTGCTCCAGAAAGCTTCCAATTTATTTAGCATCCATTGGGAATCTCTCCAGCATAGACATTTGGATGAACAATGTTCAACTTCTGACTGACAGCTACTTCATAAAGACCACTCTCAGAGTTCATCTCTAGGAGGTGCTGTTGTGCTGAAGGAGGAGGGAGAACACCCTCTGTACTCTTTTCTCTAGTGTGAATTTTCTGATGCCGGATGAGAGTAGACTTTTGGCTGAAGGCTTTTTCACATTCATTGCACTTATATGGCTTATCTGGTTTGTGAACTTTCTGATGCTGCCTCAGATTAGAACTTTGTCTGAAGGTTTTTCCACATTCAAGGCACTCATAAGGCCGCTCACCAGTGTGAAGTCTTCGATGGTTATTAAAGCTGGAGCGTTGGGTAAAGAATTTCCCACATTCAGGGCACTGATAAGGCCTTTCACCCGTGTGAAGTCTCCGATGGCTATTGAGGCTGGAGCTTTGGCTAAACAATTTCCCACATTCACTGCACTCATAAGGCCTTTCACCAGTGTGGACTCGCTGATGTTTCATGAGGTCAGAGCTTCGGCTGAAGGCTTTCCCACATACGCTGCATCCATACGGTCGTTCACCTGTATGAACTATCTGATGTTGAACAAGTCCATCAAAGTGGCTAAAGAATTTCCCACATTCATTGCATTTGTAAGGTTTTTCTCCAGTGTGAACTCTCCAGTGTTTAATTAGGCTGGAGTTGCAGTTGAAGGATTTCCCACACTCACTGCATTCATGAGCACTTTTACCAGTATGAACCCTCTTATGATGAATGAGGTTGGAGCGTTGGCTGAAGAACTTCCCACACTCACTGCACTCATAAGGCTTTTCTCCAGTGTGAACCCTCTTATGTTGAATAAGATTAGAACTTCGACTAAAGAATTTGCCACACTCGCTGCACACGTGAGGGCTTTCACCAGTGTGAACTCTCTGATGTTTGATGAGACTGGAGCGCTGGCTGAAGAATTTCCCACATTCACCACACTCATAAGGCTTTCCTCGATTATGATCTCTCTGGTGTTGAAAGAGGCCAGCAGCATAGCTGAAGAATATCCCACATTTGTTGCACTCATAAGGCCTTTCTCCAGTGTGGGTTCTCTGCTGAACAAGTGAAAGTTTGTCACTGAGAGCATTCTCAAATTCACTGTACTTCTTATGGAGTTGCACAGTGGAAAAATCCACCACACTTTCAGAGCTCTTCTCTGGCTCCCCCACACTGGTAGTGACCTGATGCTGGAGAAAACCACATCTGGCCACAAAGGCCTTCCCATCCTCCCTGAATGCAAAAGATTTCTTTGATGTGTCATATCTGCAGCTCTTCACAAGCAAGGCCCTGCCTTCATTCCTTCCAATAGACTTGTACACATTCTGCTGCATCTGTGACTGGTGAAAGTGGGCGTTGAACTTGAACTCTTTCCTATGTGCCTCATGCATGTGTGGTTTCTGCTTGGAATGTGTTGCCTGATGTTCAGCCAGATGCAGAATGTTTTTCAAGTGTAGGCCACACAGGTTACAGGGGTAGCCCTTCTGGGTGGATGGAACTGCCTTGGGATTCATGTTCTGTGACACTTCTACAGAAACACTGAGTTCAGCAGGTGATTTCTCACCCTCTGTTCCACAGTAAAAATCTGAAAGTAGAGAAATGCTGGTGATATTCATGTTAATTTTCATGGAAGGAAACAATCCAATCACAAATGCAAGTCTGACCCAGGAATGAGTTCATGGGACTGTTGGCAAGATGAGAGGCCTAAGGTCAAGATAAGGAATGGTCTTCCCAGGAGTCCTGTGCCTGGTAAGGTCATGAAATAAGGGAGGCCATACCAGAAGCCAGGACACAAAGATGGGCACAGTATCAGATGGAAAGGCAAGTCTTCAGCTCCGTTCTCAACAAAGCTTTTCTTGGGGACTCCAGCTGCTGATAACCTGTGAGAGCTGTGCAGAAGGGTATGTCCAGATCTGGGAAAACCTGATCGCAACTGTTTAACTGGTGTTCAAGGACTATCAGAGGAAATGTGCACATCTCATGACACATGAAGTGCAGGCCCATGCTGAAGAGTGCTGCAGAGGGGAGCTGTGGAAACAGTGAGGGGCACAGACAGAGACCCCAATCAGAGAATAAATGACCAGTGGTCAACATACCAAAAATAGGAAAAGAAAGGTAGAAGAGATATAAGTCCATTGGCTTGGCACCAAAAGAATGATGAACACAAGAAAAGTGGCAGGTATGATTTGAAGACAGTAGTGATGTCACATGCCCCCCCACCCCCCACTTACCTGAGTCAGGCCCTCTATACACCCCTCTTGCCATGGCTGAAGTCATGTCCACTTGGTCAGGCACCCAGGGCTCTGCCCCCATCTCCAGCTGGGCAACTATGTGAGACCTGAAAGATGTAAGTCCTAAGGGGAAGATGGGGCAGGTAAGGGACCAGCACTTGCCCAGGTGAATTATCCCACAATAGAACTTAGGAAAGGAAACATAATTACAAAAGGAACACACAGGGAGATCTGGCAGGAATATCCCAGTGGTCATGGCAAACAGTGACCACATCAGTGCCTAGAATTTCTGGCAGTCAGGCCTTAGGGAATGTCAGCTAAAGCAAAGGAGCCAAACAAACTGTCAGAGATCTAAACATCACCCAGGAGATCAGTGGCTGAGTCAGACGGGATCTGCTGGGCTGACTGCAAGACTCCTCCTTCTGGGACCCTTCCCCACAAGGCTTCGAGACAGTAGGTGTTGAGGCTGCTTGGGGAGAGCATGGGACCCTGCACACAGCTCAGCTCTGGACCCACAGCACATATACCTGAAGAGGTGGGGGGACTTCCCTGGTGGTCCAGTGGTTAAGAATCTACCTCCCAATGCAGGGGACTTGGGTTCAATCCTTGGTCAGGGAACTAAGATCCCACATGCTGCAGGGCAACTAAACCTGTACACCACAACTAGAGAAACCCACTCACTGCAACTAGAGAAGCCTGCACTTTTCAATGAAGACCCAGCACAGCCCAAAAAACAGACGGGGGGAGGGGAGGAAGCAGTGCCCACAGCCCAGCTGTGGGAAGGAAAGAACCACCTCTTAGGAAAAGGAAATGGGCAGAGATGAGCTCAGGACACCTGGGTGGGTGTAAAAGCCTTACCAAGTGAGGCAATCAGTGCAAAGTTCTCCAGCATCACATCACAGTACAGGAGTCTCTGAGCCTTATCAAGGAGTCCCCACTCCTCCTGGGAGAAGTAAATGGTCACGTCCTCAAAGGTCACACAGCCCTGTCATGATGATGGGGACAGTTCATTCCATGATCAGCTTCTTTCCTCAGGACTCCCTCTCTGTTCACTGTTCACCCTCCTCTCCAGCTCCACAACACAGGGGAGATCTCAGACCCCAGTTCCATGCCTTCTATGACTGCTGTGTCAGCCCACAGCAATGCCCACAGCAGGTAGGCAGACAGATACCAGTTGAGTTCTGTGTCTGAAATGCAGGGCCCCTAATAATTACCCTAAAGCATATGATAATAGACAAAGATACTCCAAAACTCCTAGGAGAAAGCATATTTTCTTTTTCTGTTTCTTCAAGTTATAAACCTTATGTTTTTGAATGTAAACACAGCCCACTGAGCCTGAGCCTGGATTAACTCAATCAGTAGAACCTGAAATTGAAAAAAGAGAGAGAGAGAGAGAGAGACTCTTTAAAACACCAACTGCTAAAAAGCCTCTCTGGCTGAAACTCTAAGTCACAGCCTCCTTAAAGTAGTTTGCCAAGGGCAAATACATATCTTGTTTGTCTTCTCCTCAAAGAACAAAATCTGAGCAAATAATCTAACTTATTCCAACTGTTACTTATAAACTAGTAAATTTTATATGCTTCCCTGGTGGTGCAGTGGTAAAGAATTCACCTGCCAAAGCTCTCGGGTTCAATCCCTGGATCGAGACGATCCCCTGGGGTAAGAAACGGTAACCCTTTTCAGTATTCTTGCCTGGAAAATTCCATGGACAGAGGAACCTGGCAGGTCTCAGTCTGTGGAGTTGCAAAGAGTCAGACACGACTGATAGACTGAGCACACATGCGTAAGTTTTACACTGTACTTGATTCATGATTAAAGTTTTAAAATGAGGACTATGAGATCTCTGGTTGTGTCTGTCTGTAAGTCCATATGTGTATGCTACCTCCAGATGGCACTGCCAAAATTAATTTGTAAAAGACCTCTATTTAATTGGCTTATAAAAATAAGCACTTATATAAAAATTCTCAAATATGTAATAAAAAAACAACCCAAATATTTTTCAAGTTCATATATCTAGGATAATCTTTAGTAAATAAGAGCTACTTTTAAACTTGTTGGTTAACTTAATACAGGTATATCTCAGATTTAACATTAAACATAATGTAGATAAATAACTTTTGTTCTACCTGGGTTTATTAGTCAAATGGGCTCATTTTGTCTCTGTTGCAGAGTTTGTCACCAAACAAACTTAGGATAATGATTATTTTAAAGTCTCATGAGATTTTTATGAGTATTCTGAGTATGATTATTAAAAACAAATAAATTAGGGAATTCCCTGGTTGCTCAGTCATTAGGATTTGTTGCTTTCACTGCCATGGCCCCGGGCTCAATCCTTGATCAGGGAACTAAGATCCTATAAACCATGCAACTTTGGAGGAAAAATAAATAAAAATAAATATATAAAATAGATGTAAATGTGATGAGTTTTTAGGTAGATTTTAAAACAATAATTGTGTTACGGTATGTCCACTTAAATAACTTCATAAATCCATTTGGTAAGTCATACCCTATGTTTTGCTATGTTAAATTAAATGATGGGAATTTGTTGGATGCCTAGATCATTTCCAAGTAATATAAAGTACTGAAACATTAATTGCTAGAGTCTAAGTTTATATGTACTTTTGGGCTCTTATTACAGAAAGATTAAGTATGTTTGGCTCTAGTGAATATATCTTGTGCTTCATTGAAAGACTGTACTATGAAATAGCATATGTTTCTAGAAATTATACAATGTACTTATAAATTTGCCAAGCCACAAAATGTTAATAAAGTTTACAACTGTTTACTTCTTTATTTTCACTAAAAAATTAAGATTTCAAAGGATTAAGGATTCCAATTAATATATGTGGTTAAAGCTGCCAGATACAATAATAGAATTGTTTTGGGATGAGAAAAAATAAGGTGTGGAGATGTTTTTGTTAAGGAAAATGAAAGTAATTTTGTCCTAAACCTAGTTAGTTCTAAATGGGAAAGAAAACAAGGGATAAACTAAAATGAAATTCTGTAAGATTGTGAATAAAGTAGTCTTTAGACAGGAATTTTATATGTGGTCATGATTGAATAAGATTGGAATGGATTTAGTTAAGCAAATAAGTTTTAATATGAAAGTAAAGTAGTAAAAATTGGAATTTGGTTTTCTCTCTATTAAAAGAACAAAACTTTGCTTTCCTATTGGTCTGCTCTTGATAATAAGAGATTATGAAAGGCTTTTCTTTACCTTTAAATAATATACTTAGAAAAAAACAAAGATCTAAGTATATAAAAAATATACTTAGGAAAAAAACAAACTTGATAATAAGAGATTATGAAAGGCTTTTCTTTACCTTTAAATAATATACTTAGGAAAAAAACAAAGATCTTGTCAAAATAATTACTTACATTCTGTTGTCTTTATCAGTTCTTTGATTCATTAAGTAAATCTAGTCCTATTGCTGTTAAAAGAGCTAAATTTTGCTCAGAACTACATAACTGTCCATATTTGCCTAAGGTTTTAATTGTTAGTTTCGTTGAATGGATAACGAAACATTGCTGTGAAGATCTATTTGACTAAATTGAATTTTTTAAAATATTTTTGACAAACTTCCCTCAAATCAAATTGTAAATGAAATCTTTTTGATTTAGAACTTTGAGAGATGAGATGGTTCAGGGGCCCTTTAAAATGCCTCAAAGATTTATTCTTTCTCCTTATAAAAAGATACAAAACTAATTAGCCATATTTGATATGTTAAATTATGTGGAAACTGTTGGCACCTTCTTTATGTTGTGTCTATATAGGTATGTGTTCTAAGTGTTCCAGAAATTAGGTGAAATTCCTGAAGTCATATATATCGTGGCATAAAATGTTATGTCATCAAAATGGAGGCTCAGACTAAAGTACCAGAAGAAATTGAACTGAAGTACCAGAGAAATGCCCTAACTGACCTTCAAGCAAAGGTAGTAGCAACAGAATTTATAAAGACTGTGGCACATGTGAACAAAATCCATTCTGCTTCTGCAAAAATCCTGACCCCTTCTTGCCAGACTTTTGCCATCTTGATATCCTTGTACCAAGGCAACAGTATGCTACTGAATAACAGAAATTAAAATAGGTAAACAATAGTTGCAAACTAAACAAACAGTCAGGGCTATGGGAAAACCAAGATGGCTACTTAGTTCTCCCCAGCTCCCAGGTAAATCTCATTTTCCCCCCTGCATTCCTTCACTCACCATCGTGCATTTAACATGCATTTAAATAGACATTGGCAGGGAGATCTCTTTAAAACAGAAAAAAAAACAGCCTATCAGTCATGTCTGACCTTTGAGGTCCATAACCCTGAGAAAAACTATTTTTGCCCCAGATGCCTCTTCTCTCTGGACCCTTTGAGCACCTGCAGCTGGACATCATTCAACTGCCACTAAGTATGGTTTATCAGAATGTTCTTATTATTACATGTATGCTTTCCAGATGGGTTGAAGCCTTCCCTTGCTACAAGACTGATGACATCACAGGGACGAAGAAATGATTTTTTAAGAAGTGTTTTCTATTTGGGGTATACCTTCCATAATCTCCAGTGATCAAGGCACCCACCTCACTGGGCAAATTATTCAAGCCTTAACAAAAATTTCACAAACTCCTTGGAATATCACTGTTACCCTCATGCTTAATCATCAGGCAAAGTCAACAGAACTAATGGAAGAACTGGACTCAAAGAATTAATTACGTGTAATTGAATGAACTGATGAATATGATTATAGTTTTTATGACTTTTTGTTTAAAATACAATATTACTGATTTTTTAATCTTTTGTTTTCCAAATGCAAGGAATTCTTTTAAAAAGATTTACAGCAGTTTGGTGAATTGGACTTCCTGGGTAGATCAGCTGGTAAAGAATCCACCTGCAATGCAGGAGATCCTGGTTCTATTCCTGGGTCTGAAAGTTCCCCTGGAGAAGGGATAGGCTACCCACTCCAGTTTTCTTGGGCTTCCCTAGTGGTTCAGATGGTAAAGAACCCTCCTGCAAGGTGGGAGACCAGGGTTCAATCCCTGGGTTGGGAAGATCCCCTGAAAAAGGAAATGGCAACCCACTCCAGTATTCTTGCCAGGAGAATACCCATAGAAAGAGAAGCCTGGCCGGCTATAGTCCACAGGGTCGCAAAGAGTCGGACACAACTAAGTGACTAAACATGGCACAGCATACCTTTCTAAGCAAAAATGAAATGTTCATTTTTTCCTTCCCACCTGATTGCTCCAGAATTCAGAAACTCTCATGAGTATTCTTATTTTCTTAACAATATAGTTACATTTGGAAAAGTTCAGTAAGAATCCGTTCTCCTTAAAATAGAACACAATTAGAAATATTGGTTATCTTATCCAGGCTTTTGACTGGAAAGTCATATTTGAGAGAGACACACACAGACTCAGACACGACCAAACAATTTGAAAGAACTTGACTTTATTTCATTATTTTCCTTTTTAGCTGCACCATAGCTTGCAGAATCTTAGTTCCCTGACCAGGGATTAAACCCTGATTCTAAACTGAACCCTTGTATGCATGATTCTAGTACTGTTAGTTTCATTGAGGTTTTGTTGTTTACCTGAAATCTGGACTAGATCCTGAAGTGTTCTAATTTCCTCCAATATCGAGGTACAACTCTTTAATGTTTCCAATTTTCTCCCACCCTTTGACTTGGAATCATTGAGAACTAAAATTGCCCTTTTCCTAATGCCTTGAAAATTGAAGCTAGACGACTTGATACAAATTTCGGAGAAACTGCCACAACAGCTCATATTTAAACAATCCTCATGCTTGCTGCTGTATGAGCCACTTAGAAAGTTTTCTTGAACACCTGGTGACATCAGAGACATTTCAAACTGCAAAAGATGCTTCAACCCTGACACCTTGAATCTTCTTGACTGCATCCTAATGTCAGAAACTGGTTTATGACTGACTCCAAACATTAACCCTTTGTTTTCTTTTGTTTTCCTAGAAATGTCTCATTAACTACCTGATTGCTTGTACCACATGCCTAGCTTCTGGAGCCCATCTGCATCACTGCCTCCTGAAATGGGGTATAATTGTTCTCCTGAACTGACCTCTTCTCAGAACTAACAATTGCTTCAATGAACTGGTGCTCAGACGCTCAGTTGTGTCCAACTCTTTGTGATCCCATGGGCTGTAGCCTGCCAGGCTCCTCTGTCCATGGAATTCTCAAGGCAAGAATACTGGTGTGGAGTGCCATTTTCTACTCCAGTGGCTCTTCCCCAGCCAGCAACTGAACCCACCTCTCTTGTGTCTCCTGCATTGGCAGGTGGATTCTTTAACATTAGCACCACCTGGGAAGCCCTCAGTAAGCTGGAGGACTCCTCTGGTAAGAGGTCTCTTTCCACAGAGGACGTTCCAGAGGAGAGAACTACTGGGGCCTAGCATGGGCCTCCCCAAAATGTGCATTAATGGCCTATTGATTATTTTGAATTAAAGTTACTGAAGAAACAGTCAACGCAAGAGGGACACTGTGACCCACATGTCTGTCTCCCTGAAAACAGGAAATAAATTTCTGTGTAGAAAGTGCACTCCCTGGAGGTCCAATGGTTAAGACTCTGCACTTCCACTGCTGGGAGCACAGGTTTGACCCCGGGTCAGGGAACTAAGATCCCACATGTCACGCATGGCCAAAAAGTAAAATAAATAAATAAATACATAAAATAAACTGGGCCAAGATATTAAAAAAAAAAAAAGGAAACTATTTAAAAGTGCACTCCCTGTATCTGGAGGTAAAGCACACCCTTATTGCCAAAGGGAGGGAATTTGGACCAAGAAATCTATATAAATAAACCTTGTTACTTCTTTAATTTACAACCTGGAGCCCAAACTGTTTAGATTTTTCACTAATTGGGCACCCAAAATCTAAGTTTCTTTGTCCAGTTGATTACTCACAAAGGTATCGTTTGTCTAATGAGTAAAAGATGCTGACTTTGGCCACTTTTTAGGTCCCATTTCTGACTTCACTTACATTAAAATGTATTTTTCTCCTGTTAACGTGTCTTATGCTAATTTTTTTATTAGTTTAATTATTTATTACTGCAGCCACAAGAACTCAAACAAGAGGTAGAGGGAGAAATTTCCCCCTCCCTGACAGCATCCAGAGAATTCTAGGCAAATACAACCATGATCCCACCCTGCCCCAGACCTTCAATGACTCCCACTGCCAAGGGCAACATCCACACTTGAGGTGAAGGCCTCCGGACCTGGCCATGACCCTGGCTTCAATCCAACCTACCCAGGACTACAGCAGACTCCTTGCTTCTCTGTAAGGCACATTCTATCCCTTCATCAATCACTCATTCAAAGCCAACCTCTCTGGTCCTCCTGCCCCCACCCACCAGGGTCTAATAGCTCTCCCAGCTTGCCCCATTTGCCCCTTGGTTCTCCAGACTGACTGAAAATCCCAGAGCTTCCTCAGGGTCCACAAAGGCCTGGTGAGAATGCAGATGGCTGAATGAGCACCAGTCCACACCTCACTGAAAAACTATTTCCATCACTACTAAGCCTCAGACCTCCTTTCATACCTATCCCCCCAGGAAAATTTGGCCAGCTGCCAGACACACTTTTCCCTACACACAGATCCCCTCCCCCCACCCAGCTACTACCACAAACACTAACTCTCCCTCATCTGTCTCTATGATGCCAAACAAGCCGGCCAAAGTACCAAAGCAAGATGCCCAGTTCTCGGGCTCCACTTTCCTTCCTCCTTCCTTCTAAGGTCACTGCCACCCTCCTGAATCAGACACACAGTTACACCCTTGTCCACACACCAGATGCCACATTTTGGATGTTTCTCTTTTTTTTCTTTTTTTTGGTCACACGGGTTTCGCCAATGACTCAGCAGTAAAGAATCAGGCTGCAATGCAGGAGACACAGGAGACATGGGTTCAGTCTCTGGATTGGGAAGAACCCCTGGAGGAGGAAATGGCAACCCACCCCAGTATTCTTGCCTGGAAAAAGTCCCGTGGACAGAGGAGTCTGGCGGGCTACGGTCCATGGGGGTCACAAAAGAGTCAGACATGACTGAGTGACTAAGCTTGTGCAGCTTGTGGGATCTTAGTTCCCAGACCAGGGATCAAACCCAAGCCCCCTGCAGTGAAAGCCTGGAATTCTAACCACTGGACTGCCAGGAAAGTCCCTGGTGTTTCTCACTGTGAAAATAAACAAAGACTAACCAAACGAGAAAAGCAAAAGGATATTTATTCTGAGTTTGTTATAGAAAGGGAGTTAGCCACTTAAGTTTTGTTTTGTTTTGTTTTTTTAATTCATGTGTGTTCCCTTTATTTTAAAATATTTTTATTAAAAATAATTTTATTGGTATATAGTTGCTTTACATTGTTTAGTGTCTACCATACCACAGAGTAAATCAGCTATATGTATACATATATCCCCTCTTATTTGGATTTCCTTTCCATTTAGGTCACTATAGAGCACTGAGTAGATTTCCTATGCTATACAGTAGGTTCTCATTAGTTGTCAATTTTATACATAGTATCAATAGTGCATATGTGTCAGTCCCCATCTCCCAACTGCATATGTTGGCAGAGACTCAAAGGCAGGCAGAGGAATGGGAAAGCTTTATAAGTGGAAAAAAAATGGAAGGTTTCAGGTATGCCCTGTTGGCCTGGGAAAGCTGTAGGCAAGCTAACTAGAAGCAGAGCATCCTAGGCGATCAGCTAGAGGTGCATATTTGGCTAATTCTGGCTGGTCTTAAGTTGGAACAAAAACGAGAGCAGTTGTCAGTTATTAAGTCCTGGTTATTTGAGGCCAACTGTTATAGAAATTATTGTTTAACTTCCTGGATTGTCACTAGAGATAGCAATCTGGGTTCCTGCAAGTCTAACTTACAGCAGAATGGCTTCCTGGGTTGTTTATTGTAGATAAGGGGGTTTGTTTCCTGGGCAGGTTGCTGCAGGTTGTGGGTCAGAGTTCTATTTTATGTATAGTCTGCCAATGTCCCGTTATATATTCAGTGTCTCTTAACCTAAACTAAGCTTCCCCCATACACCATAACTGTGTGTCTAGCTGCTCAAGCTTCAACTCTGCTCAGGGGTCCCTGGAACATCAGAACATGGCCCAAATGTAACTTCTGGTATTTCCAATCGAAATTCCTCCTACAAACAATTTCCCTTCTCAGTTGATGGTTCATCCATCCTTCCAGCTGCTAACACCAAATCCATTGACTTGCTGCTTTTCTTTCTCAGTTTCCACCTCAGAAAATCTGGTCAGCCTCACTTAGAAGACCCACCTAGAATCCCATCGCTTCTTCTACCTGCAATCATCTGCCCTCCTCACCTGGCCAGCAGTATTGCAGCAGCTACTGGTTGCCTTCCCCACCTTCACCCTCAGCCCACAGTCAGTTTTTCCACTTGGCACCCAGGTGATCCTGTTAGGATGTAAGTCACATCACCTTCCCCCTCCGCTCTGGCTTCTGTGGCTCCCAACACTCTCAGAATAGACGCCCGGCTTCTCAACCGGCCATTCCACGATGACTTCAGCCCACCTGCTCTCTGAACACTCCCAGCTCCATCCTGTACTTGCCCACGGCTGGTTCCTATTGCCTAGGAAACCGTTTCCCAACTCATCCACTAGAGTTCAGAAATGGGACCCGCTCTCTACGATCCCTGCCCTGGATTCAGGACCCAAGGCTGGGAGTGACCACTCGCTCCCTCTCAAACCCTCAGGACCCCAGACTCAAAAGCAGAGAGATGAAAAAGACGTCAAGTCGTAGAGCAATGCCCATCTTTGATCCCCCGGGTCCGGGTACGTGAGGATGAAGGGCTGAGCAGCTGGGGGCCCGAAGCCCATCCACTCACCTGCGCCATGTCCATCAGCGCCGCCGCCGCCATCGCAGCCCCTGGACGCAGGAGCCCTCGGAAGCGGGTGACCGAGGCGGGTGTCGCGGGCTCAGCGTAGCGCCACGGCGCCTGGCCCCGGGCGAGGTGGGACTTCAGTCTCCTTGGGGTCAAGTGCGTCCAGGGCCGTGTGCCGCGGAGAGAGCGCGGCGCGACGGGACCCTGGCGGACACCGCGTTCCGGGAGGTCACTGCTAGTTCAAAGGCGCACAGGACGGTCCTGGCCTCCCTGTCCTTCCCCCTCCCGTTCCCGAAAACCGCCTGGGAAGCGGTACCCGTCCAGCCCCACCCCCAGCCCCAGACCCACGGCTCGGGGCGCACCGACCCAGTCCGGGGAAATGACTAGCGGGGCAGAAACGCAGGAAGTTCCGGCCCCCACCTCCCCAGCCCAAAGAAACGACACTCCCGGGCTGTCATTGGCCCAGCGCCAGCCGGTGACGCACCGGCACAGCCTCCTGGACAGTGTTTTCTGTCCTACATCCGGCAGGGCCGGTCAGGGGCAGCAGGGAGGAGCGGGAAGGAGGCGGGCCGGGGAGGAGAGCGGACCTCGCGGCTAGTCGTTGACATTGGCCTGGAGGCACGGCGAGCTTTTCCTCCTTAGGGGGCGATCTCCAGACCTCTGGGACTGCCTAGGGCCAAGTGCCGCCTGCCCCCAGAAGTCTGTAATACGAGACCCACACGTGCCAGTGTGGGTGTAGGGTGGTCTCTTGATCCCGCAGGCTCCCCGGGACCTACATTCACTTTGAATAATGAAGATAATATCTAATATACGGGTTCTTTGTGTACTAACATTTAAAGTTGCTTAGATTCAGTGCCTCGCAAAACGGTAACATTAGCATCACCTGGGAATTCCTTAAAAACCCAAGTTCTCGGTCAGCAATCTAAACCTTGATTTCTAGTCTTTCCCAATCTGTTGTTTTCCTGTATTTCTTTGCATTGTTCACTTAAGAAGGCTTTCTTATCTCTCCTTGCCATTCTCTGGAACTCTGCATTCAGATGGATATATCTTTCCCTTTCTCCTTTGCCTTTCCTTTCTCTTTCTTTTCTCAGCTATTTGTAAAGTCCCCTCAGACAACCATTTTACCTTGTTGCATTTCTTTTTCTTGGGGATGGTTTTGGTCGCCATGTCCTGTACAATGTTACGAACCTCTCCATATTTCTTCAGGCACTCTATCTACCAGATCTAATCCCTTGAATATGCCTGTCACCTCCATTATATAATCATAAGGGACTCAATCTAGGTCATACCTGAATGGCCTTAAATCCTTCAAGTTAAACCTGAATTTTGCAATAAGGAGCTGATAATCTGAGCCACAGTCAGCTCCAGGTTTTGTTTTTGCTGTCTATATAGAGCTTCTCCATCTTTGGCTGCAAAGAATATAATCAATCTGATTTTGGTATTGACCATCTGGTGATGTCCATATGTAAAGTCATCTCTTGTGATGTTGGAAGAGAGTGTTTGCTATGATCAGTGTGTTCTCTTGGCAAAATTCTGTTAGACTTTGCCTTGCTTCATTTTGTACCCCAAAGTGAAACTTACTTGTTATTCCAGGTGTCTCTAGACTTTCTACATTTGCATTCCAATCCACTATGATGAAAAGGACATCTTTTTTTTTGGTGTTAATTCTAGAAGGTGTTGTAGGTCTTCATAGAACCTTTCGGCTTCAGCTTCTTTGGCATTAATGGTGGGGCATAGACTTGGATTACTATGATGTTGAATGCCTTGGAAACTTGGCATTACTTGGATTACTTGGCATTACTTGGATTACTTGGATGTTGATAATATGATGTTGAATGCCTTGGAAAGGAACCAAGATCATTCTGTCATTTTTGAGATTGCACCCAGGTACTGCATTTTAGACTTTTTTGTTGATTATGAAGGCTACTCCATTTCTTCTAAGAGATTCTTGCCCTCAGTAGTAGATATATGGTCATCTGAATTAAATTCGCCCATTTCCATCCATTTTAGTTCACTGATTCCTAAAATGCCAACGTTCACTCTTGCAGTCTCCTGCTTGACCATGTTCAGTTTACCTTGATTCCTGGACTTAACATTCCTTTATGATCCTTTTAATGAACATGGGGTCAGTAGTGAATAATCTCTCCTTCATTTCTGAATTAGTAATCTGTGTCTTTTTTTTGTTTGTTTTTTTAGTTTCTTAATTTTGATGGACAGAATGGTGTCCCCCTGCACCCAAAATTTATATGTTGAAGCTCTAGACCCCAAAGTGACTGTGTTGAGAGATAGGGCTGTTAGGGAGATAATTAAGATTAAATGAGGTCATATAGGTGGAGCCCTAACCAGATAGGATTTGTGTTCTTATTAGAAGAGAAAGAGACACCAGAGATAACTTTCTTTCCACAAGCACATGGAAGAAATACCTTGTGAGAAAACAGCAAGGAGGAAGTCATCTCTAAGCCAGGAAGGGAAGTCTCACCAGAAGCCAGCTCTGATGGCAGCTTGGTCTTGGACTTTTGGCCTCCAGAACTAAGAGAAAATAACTTTTTCTTAGTTCTGAAAAAATAAACTCTGTCCTGAATGGAGAAAATAAATTTCTGTTCTTTAGGTCACTCACTCTGTGTTAGTTTGGTATGGCAACACGAGCAGACTAATAAAGTTTGCCTGGCTGTCAATTTTGTCAATCTTTTCAAAAGAGTCAGTTTTTAGTTTTGTTGATTTTGTCTATTAATTTTGTTTTCAATTTCACTGATTTCTGCTCTGTTTTGTTTTGTTTTTTCTGCTTACTTCGCTTTTTTTTTTTAAGCCAGACAGAGTCATTCCTTTTTTAAAAAATATATATTTAGTTGGAGGATAATTGCTTTACAATGTTGTGTTGGTTTCTGCCATACAACAACATGAATCAGCCATAGGTATACCCATATCCTCTCCCTCTTTAACTTCCCTCCTATTAAAAAAAAAATTTTATTTTATTTGTTTATTTGGCTTCGCTGGGTCTTCATTGTGGTGTGCAGGCTTCTCTTGTTGTGGAGCACAGGCTCCAAGCACGCAGACCCATGGGCTCAGTAGTTGTGGTACACAAGCTGAGCTGCTCCATGGTGTGTGGGATCTTCCTGAACCAGGGATCAAACCTGTATCTCCTGCATTAGTAGACAGATTCTTAACCACTGGACCACCAGGGAGGTCCCATTCTTCTGCTTACTTTGCTTTTGATATGTTTTTTTTACCCCTAGGGTGAAAGCTAAACTGACTTTTAAGTATTGTTTTTTTCTAATTTGTTTTTTTCTAATTTCTAATGTATAATTCAATGTTATAAAATTTTAAGCACTGCTTTCAATGCATCCCACAAATTTTGATGTATTGCTGTTTTCATTTAGTTCAAAGTATATTTTAGCTCTCTTAAGACATCCTTTCTAATCTGCATGTTACTTAACATTGCATTGTTTAATCTCTAATTATTTGAGGATTTTCCAATTACGTTTCTGTTGATGACTTCTGGTTAAATTCTATTGTGGTCTGAGGGCATACATTGCATGATTTCTTTTTAAATTTGAGTCTTTAAAATTTTTAAGCTCTGTTTTATGGCCCAGGATGTGATCTATCTTGGTTGCTTGGAAACTTGAAAAGAATGTGTATTCTACTCGTGAATTTGTTTTTTAGGTTTATCATGATTTATTTCATTATCAGTCTTACAAGTTGCTGAGGTTGGGCAAAGCCAGGATAGTTGATAGCATGCACTTTGAGTTCTGATGTGTGTTTTCCAACACCACCAAGCCATTTTCCAGTTCTCAGCAGACTCTGATTAGGTGCTCTATACATTTTGCTCAATTCTGACACTGTCTACCTGGAGATAACATCAAATCCCACAGGTTAGGGGTTCAGACTCACAAGACTGCCCCCACTTCAGACACCAGTCTGTGAGTCCAAATTGTCCCCTGTGTTTCTAACCAACTGACTATAAATCAGAAGTTACAACTCCCTACTTGGATTTGAGCATCTGTTAGAATGGCTCAGGGAACTCACACATTTACTAATGTGTCCCATGCGTGCGTACTAAGTTGCTTCAGTTGTATCTGACTCTTTGCCACCCCGTGGACTGTAGACCGCCAGTCTCCTCTGTCCATGGGATTCTCCAGGCAAGAATACTAGAGTAGGTTGCCATGCCCTCCTCCAGGGGATCTTCCTGAACCAGGGATTGAACCCACATCTCTCATGTGTCCTGCATTAACAGGTGGCTTCTTTACCACTAGTGCCACCTGGGAAACTTACTTATGTGTCTCAGTTTATTACAAAAGCTATTAGAAAGGCTAGAGATGAACAGTCAGACAAAGAGATACACAGAGTGAGGTCTGGAAGTGTCCTAAGTGCAAGAGCTTCTGTTCCTATGAAATTGGAATGTGACACCTTCCTGGCATGTGGATGAGTTCACCCACCTGGAATTTCAAATATTTCAATATTTCAATATTGAACAACAAATATTGTTGTTCAAGAATTTTTATAGAGTTTAGTCTGTACCCTCCAAGCTACCACCACTTCCCCTTAGTTTTCCTTCCCAAAGGTTGATGGATGAAGCTGAAAGTTCCAACCTTAAATCATTTATCTTTCTGCTGATCAGTACCATCCTAAGCCTTTGTAGGGAACTTACCTTAAGTTACCTTGTTAGCAGAAACTCAGGTGTGCTTAAAAGGGTCTCCTTAGCTCCAAAATCACTGGGGATGGTGACTGCAGCCATGAAATTAAAAGACTCTTACTCCTTGGAAGGAAACTTATCACCAACCTAGACGGCATATTAAAAAGCAGAGACATTACTTTGCCAACAAAGTTCTGTCTAGTCAAGGCTATGGTGTTTCCAGTAGTCATGTATGGATGTGAGAGTTGGACTATGAAGAAAGCTGAGGGCCAAAGAATTGATTCTTTTGAACTGTGGTGTTGAAGACTCTTGAGAGTCCGTTGGACTGCAAGGAGATCCAACCAGTCCATCCTAAAGGAGATCAGTCCTGAATATTCATTGGAAGGACTGATGCTGAAGCTGAAAC